TCTTATCTAAAAAGTTACTTAGAACTATTTTTCAATCTGAATGCTTCTTGAAGAACTTTATTTAGAGATAAATATTTTTTACAAATTTCTATACTATAAAATATTTAAACTAAAATAATATAAATATAAGAAATAATACTAAAATACTAATAAATATAACTAATAAAAATATAATGTAAATTATGCTAAAATCTATCCTATAACAATAGTATAAATTAAGATCATATTGTATATATTTAATTAGAAATCAAATTGTTATAGCATAGAATTTATAGAAGATGATTATGAAAAACCTTAAATTTTTTAAATATGGCTTTAAATAATTGTAATAGAATTAGTGTAAGTAAAATTTGAGAAGTTAAATATCTTTAATACACAACAAGCTAATTATAATTTGTCTTATTACTTAAAGATAGTACATACTATTGCATATGTTTATATTTAGTCTATGCTAGATTTGTTTGCTAGCATTTTTTTGCTGTTATAATTTATTTTAAAAAAGCATTTTTAATATAAAGTTAATTACTTCTTGTTAGTATTCTGAAGAAAGCCTTGTAATATTTTCTAAAAGTTATAAAATTTCCATTTAGATAGTACAAAATAAAAATAAATTTCTTCTAATATATTCTAAGAACTAAGAAAAGGTCTAATGATCTTAGTATAGTAGTTAGGTTGTCAGACTACTATGCAAGAGGTCTAGAGTTCAAATCCTACTGTCGACAGAATTGAATAATTACTTAAACCTTTGTATCTAACTTACAGTAAACTCTATCCGTTTCTGGAGATTGTAATCCTGTAAATCATGTTGCATCAATATCATTCAGATATTGAAAGTGTAACAGAGTGCCTGAGAAACATAATATTACATAAATAAATTTTGATAGAATCTACAGATAGAGATCTGCATAGAAGAAATCCCAAGTTAGATGAAGTAGTATAAATTTTGATAGTTATATCAGTTAACGTTTGATCTGAGAGAAGAAAATCAGTATACAAAAAGATCAGTAACTAGAATGTGAGTAAGTTCATTAGGAAATCTGTATATAGAAAGATCAGTAGAATAGACAGAGTTGTAAGTAGCCAATAGATACAATAGACAGTCTAATAGTCTAATGGTGTCTAATCAAATTATTAGACAATAGACAAATTAATATATTAATTAGTTTATATTATTTATTATATTTATTAAATAAATTAAGGAGTAGTCTGCAGTTAAAAGGTATAAATTTCATAGTAAAAATCAGCAGGCATTTACTAGTTGCCTTATATAATAAGTAGAATGCCATGTGCTTCTGTTCTTAAGAAAAAACTGTATAGTAAATAATTAAAAAATACCAATATCTCAGAATATACTAAGCAGTTTGTAATGATTTTACCACCATTATAATGAGAAAGGTTTACTTCATAAAAAAATACTTTTGTATGTAAGCGAGTCTCATTCCTGCATTATAAAAAAACTATATTAAGTTCTGCTATTTTTTACTATGAAATTTGCTATTTTTTATACCCTTCAGAGCTGAACTACCTCTTAAATATTTAATATTCTTAATTTGACTAAATTTAAAAATTTTACTTTATTTTAGCATACAAATAATTTGATTTCAATTATTCTAGTAGTTTTAATAAACTAGTAATTCAATTTTATATAAAATTAATCATCAATATTCAAATTTTGTAAATAAATTATAGTGCAAAAATGCTTTTAATCATAGTGTAGCCTATACAAAATAATAATAAAAAATAGTCTAAAACTTATTTGCATCTGATTTGCTAGAATAAATTATTTTTTAATTATTGAAATTAAATAATAAATTGCCAAAATTGAGTCACTCGCCTATCAGAATTAATTACTTAAACATACGTATTTAGATTATTAGAATTTAATTGACAAAAATTTATAATCTTAAAAAGAATACTCATAGTGCTTGGATATTATCTATATATTCAATTATCTAATACACACAACTATAATTCCTGAATAAGAGTGTTCTCAAACATCTTATAGCACTTTATTTTTACATAATATCATAATCTGTGGAGGTATATTTTGCATCAAAGAAAAATTTTTATCATTCAGGTCAACAAACTTTTGTCTCAAACTGTCTTTTTTTTGTACTGACTTATAATTTTGAAGTAAATAAAGTTATTGTTATACTTTTTTTTATGGATCGTTATTGACAGCTACATAGATGTTCTCAAGTATCTTCTTTACTGTAATTACTAGTAATCAAGATTATGTACAAGCACTACAATTAATTGAGTAATCTTCATAGCAATTTTGCTAAAGATTTATAGTGCGAAATGTGGATATTAAATTTTAGCCAATCTGCACAACTCTATAATAAAAAAAGATAGTTAAGACCATCTTTTTTTTCATTGCAATGATAAACTCACTTGGCCAACTAAAATACTTTCTACTAATTAAAAATTAAGTACTGACTTATTAATTTAGATACTTGAGAGCACTCTATGTTTTTTTTTTATTACTAAAAAAATAACAATCATAATTCTTTTTGGCGATACATTATTACTCTAACAAATTTTATAATAAGGTATGAAAATTAGTAAAATATGTAAATAAGCAACAGAAGCAGCTAGGTTGATATACTTTTTATTATTTCTTTGTATTTTTGATAAGAATCAATAAAGCTACTCAAGTATTGATTGAGGTTTTTATTGTAGTGATCAAGTATCACTACAATTATTAGAAAATCACAAATTTCAATAATATCTCTATTCATACTATTGATTTTAATTAAGAAAGTTATGAGCAAAATTATATTATAATACTTATACACTTGCATCTAGGGTAATGCTTGATAACGTTCTAAATAAAACTCTTTTATTAATAACATAAATGAGAGACATGTAAAACAACATAAAAAAAAATGGATTTTTTTTTTAATTCACACATAGTTAAGAAGAATTTTCTTCAGAAAACTCTTATGAACCCTGACTAATTTTAATCTGATTCTTCACTATTACTATCCATTGATGATTCAATAATATTTTCAGTTTCAACTTTTTTTTGTATTTCATTTCTAATAAATTCAATTTCTTTTTGTTTTCTTAATATTTCTTGTATTTCAGCCTCTACTATATAATGTGGTGCAACCATATCTAATACAAAAAGACCTTCTAACTTCTATTTGGCTAATGGATTATCAGCTGGATGAGTTGTATTGAATACAATTTGATTTATAGTAGAATTATTTACCGTTATATCTAAATTGTTGTTATCATCATTATCATCATACAATTGACTTGAATTTTCCTTATCTTCTACCATTAATAACCAAGTTTCTAATATTTAGACCACTTTGCTACATTTGAAATATAACCTCTATTTGATTCATTAAGTAATTCATCATCATCTAATTCAGAATCCTGGAGTATTGGAGGCACAAAATTAGAATTCACAAAATTTATATCATTTTTAATTTTTCAATTTGAATCTTATAAAGCATTGAAGCACGCAACTTGCACATATTTAAAACCTTTTCTGGCTATAAATTAAAAGTTAGCTTAAATAATAATAATAATAGGATGCACTTTAAATCCTGAAAATTTATTGTGATTTGTAAAATTCTATTATAATCATTTAGACAATTATTAATTATCAAATTATTAGACTGTTTGAACTTTAAATTTTTAAGATTTTATAGTAATCCAATAATTAAATATATATTTTAATATTTACATTTAACTGATTTCTATTTTTAGTATAAAAGAAGCCTATGGATGAAAATAACCTCTTGACAAATGCACTATTAACAAGTACACTATGAAGTCTTAGCTATAGAGGAAAGTTCTAGTCAAATTTCAGCATAATATTTCTAATACTTGAAAACATCTCCCTCAAATTAATTCTATTCATTTTTTGAAAAAGGAAATATCTCATTTCAGTAGTCTTATAACTCAGAAATAATCTTTTTAGATGGGTCTTCAAACCAAGTGCAGTAGTAATACGTAACCCATCTTCCCAATTCAGCGAATGAAATACTATTAATTGATAAATTAAATTGAGAAAGGCGAATGTCAGGATAAAGTAAGTAACTAAGAATTAAAAGAGGCTGTTCCCGTTCTCTCCTATGTCTTTCTAAATGTTCCATCATTTTTATTCCAAACGTTATATCAGAATATTCATCCATTAACTTGTAAAGATAACTAAAAGTATGTAATACTTCATGAAGACGAGCTGAATCAGTTTGAAGTAGATTTAAACAAAGATATGTAGGTGTGAGCAAAGTGTGAAGTAAAGTTCAAATAGTGTATTCCACTAATTACTATTTCTAATTATTTCACAGATATATTCTGGCAAAGTTAAGTCATTATCTTTGGGAGATTCATATTTGGCAGCTAAAGACTATAATATAAAAATACATTAACTTTTTATTAAATAAATCTTAAATATATATATATATATATTTACAATTAAAGATGCTTTTTAATGCAAAAGACTGCCAAATGCTTCATAAAAACTGTTCTATCAGTATTACCTAGACGAATTAATACAATATATCACTTATGTACTATTTTTTGCTCATCTCTTAGCTTACCAATAAAATAAGAGTGATTTGAATTGTTAAAATAATTAGTAATTTCAACAACTTTTTTGATAGCATTATTGAAATGAGGATTTTCTTTAAAAATTTCTCTAACAAATAAATTAAGTTGGTGAGCAAAGCAAGGAAGAAAGATAATTTCACGATAAGTTCTACATATATGGTGTCTAAAATAATTAATTTGTTTAAAATTAAAATTAAATTATGTAATTAGATGTTTCAGAATTAATATATTTTAGAAATATGTGTAAATGTTTTAAAATTCAAATTTAGAACTATAAATATTAAATATTGAATAAATACTGTGCTGCTACATAAGCTGGTGTAGAATCAGAAATCACAGCAGCAACTTTAATTTGTTGAGTTTTTAGATCTTCAAGTAATGGTTCAATTTTAGGTATTACATTAATCATTCGATCTAACTCTGCACTAATATCTTGAATACTCCAAACTAGAACTTCACCAGAAGATGTAATGAGTACAGTTCCAAAAATATTTTGTTTTAAAATATTTTTCCACCTATTAAAGGCTAATGTTACACCAACAACATTATT